GGGGAGAGGGAGCGTGAGCGACTGTTTTACCTCTCGTTGACTCGAGGTGACAACTAACCAACACCGATCCACACATTCGATGCCGTCCGAATGAATCTGCTAATTAAGTTTGAAAATTACTTCATTCGGGCGAGGCGAGCGGAAAAGGCCGACGCACGCTCGTTCGTTCACGTAATTTTGTATCTCGTTCGCTCTTCTGTTTATTAGAATTAGGGGCGAATGGATTGGCTTTTGTTACAGTTTGATCAGCTTTATTTCCCCTTTCCTTCTCGTGCGCCTTATCGCAGTTTTTTATTTCGACAATTTCGAAGATTTCCTTCCCAGTCACCTTACCGCATTATATCTAATTGACCCATTCGACAATTTTTATTGTTCCAGGCGCACCGATCTCAATTTGCGTAAGAGGCTGATAAACTGCAACACGGCTTTGGCTGTTGATCGTTCATTCCCTTCTCCATAAGTCATTAATGGAGACTTTATAATCAACGTATCATAGCGATACGAGTTAACATATAAACTATAGTAGGCTTACTTGCTATATACTTTATGAAGATTACGAAGGCGGGAGAATACGATTGAGCAATGTAATTATGTAGGAGGATATTATTTTATAAACTGATAGAAGGCTCGATTTGCTTAAAAGTTAACAAAATTGCAATTTTTTACAACGATTCGTTCTCATCGCGATACATCATCAAATTCCGCTAATCGCAAAGCTTTGCACGTTCGAAGGAAAAAAATCGTGTGACAAGACTAACATATTGAATATTGATAGCAAATATGCGCGATCTTAAATTTATTGCCAGAATCCATATGCAATAAATAGCAGCAGCCTCATTCCTTTTTAGGCTAGTGTGTTTGACAATTAGTGGGCACTTATGAAAAATCATAGACTGACATATTGTCGTTTATAACGATAGGAGAATTGCAATTTCATTTACTTGTTTAGTTGCGTGCATTTGTTTTGCAATTAAAGTGGAAAAATCGATAGCGTAATGACCGTAAGCTTTGTTAATTTTACACTCGCGTACAATGTGCTTTTGCCTCGCTATTTTTTCCCATTAGTAGCGACCTCCTGGAAATGTATAAAAATTCAATATTTTACATGCTACTTAATGTACAAGTATTCTTTATTGGAATACTTTCGTAAAAATCACAGTAGGGAGCAGACACGGAATTATTCACAATTTATCCCCTCCATAAGCTCTTCTCGGTGACGAAGCGTACCATCAGTGACAGAGCCATGAGGAAAATGATAACGGTTGCGGCTATCAGAATTGCACCGTATTCTAAAAGAAAAGAAAAAATAATCCAACAATAACAGAAATATATTTAATATTATTATATTTTACGATACTTATACATAATAAATGTTATTATCAATATTTCTCATAACAACAAACAACAACAACAAAATATATATTATGAATGCGCGTTGTATTTGTATGTTTAGAGTTGTAGCTAAGTTTTGACGATTGCCGATGCACATTTAACAAACTCATCTCCGTTGCATTTATTCAGAGTAATCGGCTTAAAATTTCAACGATAATGTGTAAGGAATTTAAAATAATGCTAGAATCATTATTTATTTATTTATTTATTTATTTTTTTTTTTAACTATTCGTTTCATTCTATTGGCCAAAAATATTCTTCGTACGAGAATAAAGAGAGCTTTTATAATTATTGAGATAATAATTTATCGCTGCCTCTACACTTTCCTATAAACTACCTCTCATTAGTTATAACAACACTTATACCAATGTTCTATTTAATCAACGATAAGTTTATGAAATTTTGTGCTCTGTTTAGTCTTTGGCTTACTCAGCATTTGCTTTTATCTTCACCACAGTCGCAAAACGTTGCCCTTTCAATGTCCTCGTCATCTTTGAAAACAGGAAAAAGAAGTTTTCATTGGGCCATATATAGCGAATACAGTGGCTTTTTCTTGAAAATTGTATTTATTTTAGCAAATTAAATTCATTTGATTAATTGTCACTTCCGAGTGCAGACGTTTAAATAATGAATGAAGATTAAATTTATCGATCTTATCGTTAGTTTCATTTATTTTATTTAATCATTATTCACACAAGTTGTGGCTCTCATTATGTGGCAGAAAATAATAAAATTTATGCATTATCCATTCTCATTCTTATTAAATAAAATAGAAATTCTAAAATCCTGCAAGTTGAAATAAGTAAGCAAATTTTTCCATACCAAATGATTACTTCAATTTACAACTATCGACTGTTCGATCGATCCTTCGATTTAGATAAATTAATTTATACTCAGCAAATTGTACTGTTCAATTGCATTTCATGATATTTTCGATTCAACCTGCGACTGATTTGACAACTAATACCTTTTCAATTAATATTTGCTCAATCATATGCTTACGATATCATTGTCAAGATAAAGTTTTGTCATTTTTTTTTTCATAAATTTTTATACAATATTTATCGTTTATAGGACCTCAGAAAGCATGACTTGAAAAATGTTCGAAAATCAACTTTCTTAATAGCTTTTTTAACGGTGATTTAACATTGTAGTATTATCCATTCTCCAACATTTCATACATAGTTGGCTTATATACTACGAGGCTTAACTGTTTTGTTATTTTCAACGTCACCAAGGTTCTTCTATGAACGTTTATAGCATTCATAAATTCTTAGCTTTGACAAAGCACGAGCGTCAAAAGCTTCCCACTACATCTTGTAGCACTTTGTAAGAGTTTATTCTTTTATTACACCAGTACCACAGCATTTGATCCAAATATATGTGTGCGTTTGCGTACGTTTGTGTGTGTGTGTGTGTGTGTGTGTCAATTTTTTTAAATAAAATTTTGATTCTTGTAGAACTCTTTTTAAATGTAATTCATGATATTATTTCAATTTACCGTTCGAACAAGATTTTTATATTGAATACAGTTATAACTAATATATATATATATATATATATATATATGGGTGTATGTTTAAAATTATTTCACTTTCTATCATGTATACAAATGTATATGTTTATATACAAATTATATAAATAAATCAATACTTTTGAATTTAACATCATATTTAAATTATATTTAAAAAATTAATATAGATAAAATAAGAATTTTCATACATCTGACATAAATAATGTTTATTTACATTTGTCTTTATAATAATTTTGTAATTATAAACAGATACGATACTGATGAATCATCATCTGTTGAATCGAATGACAAAATTGAAAATTGTAATAATAACTAATTAATATTATTTTATTAAGTTAATGTAAAAACTATTGTTATAAACAATTAATGAAATACCACCTGCATAATGATTTATTCAAGTTGATTATATTATATAATATTTATGTATTAATAAAATTTCATGTATAATATATTTATGATGAATTGAATATATGATGACATTCAATTGATAGATAATCCCTCAAAGATCATTTTATTTTAATTTGAAATATTTTGTTTTTTTTTCTATACTATACTCTAAATGTAAATGTAATAAGCGATAAAAAATTAATTTTCTATGAAAATTGTTACGATAAAATATAATGACGTCTATGCTCATGAGTATTATTTCCAATTTTAGATTTTTTGTTTATTAGTATTGTTTAATGTTTAATGTAATGGTAATAATTATTATATTAGTTATTTATTGCAAAGTATAAAACTTTTAATAATAATAATTTTGATTAGTTTTTAGCGTAGCGTTTGATAGGATATTATATATTGATATTTTTGTTATATTCTAAAATCTATATATGTTTATAATCAAGTTTTTAAAATATTTTTTATGGTAATTAGAATCTGCTTAAAAAACTTATAAACTTATTCATGAATTTGATATTGCTTTCCGCATAAAAAAATAACGATTTTTAATTGTAAATAGTTTATTCGGTACGTATAAATATAACAAAAAGTAAACTGAAACCACAATTAATAGAAACTCTTTTAATTTTAATGAATACCATTTCATAAATTTGCCTCAATATTATTACTTGAAATATTAATATTTAAATGCGAAGTAATTATAAATGAATTTATATAACTTAATAATCATTATTATTACATAATTTATATACCTATTTTAATGTTTAGCATCGAGTTTTGAATCGAAGTATATTTATAAGATGACATTTAATCTCGATCGCAACAAATGAAAGTTGATATTATGTAAATTTATTTTTCAACACATTTTTTATTTATACTGAGCTTGATAATTTACTTCTAAATAAGAGTAATAAAATCATTATAAAGATAAACACGTTTGCTTGTTTGTTTATAGATGCATAAACATACTTAATATAATTATAAATATTATGTTCGTGCTTATATTCGAATATTATAGCAATATTTTTCCATCGCTTCATCAATATCTTGGTTTGTGATTAAAAATATCTTTATTAGTATTATTCATACATGCTACTGCACTCGTGATGTTCATTTAGGTTAAAAATCTTGCCAAATATAGATTTAAATGAAATGCTTATAACTTGTATAAATAGTTTGAAAAAACGACATTCGTAAATGAAATTGAGAATATAGATTTAAGCACGTAAGTAGAACTTTTGGCATTAAGATTAGTGTACTAAGTATTAAATGACGTTTAATCTTCAAATTTATCAATTAAAATGAAATAAATAATTATTGGATAAGCATGATTCTTCAAAGTTATGAAAATTTAACATATATAATTGCGGTTATTCTCAGACCGCGTTATGAATAATAAATTTTTGTTAAACTTTGATGTCAGATTTATGCAAAACTTGAATTCATACTCTTTTCAACATAACGTCTTATCTCAATTTACAAAGTTTCCACTAAATTTAGTACTTCACCTCAAAAAGTAATTCATTAAACAAAGCCTGTATCTGTGAATGAATGACTTTTTAATTCGCGAATTTCGGAACGAATCACTTTTCAGTGCACCGCTGATAAATTCGCCCGAAACTTCATACGAGTGCAGATAAGAGTATTATGAAATGGCGCGTGAAGGCATTTACGATTATTTTTACATAAATCGAAGCGTTCGGTCGACGGAAAGATCGTACTCCCTCCCTCTACTCCTCAATCGTTCAATCCCTCGCCACCCACCCTTCGCCCCCCCCCCCCTCGCCAAACAGTATCAAACTCAATTCGCGCTGTTCCAGTCGACGATTTGACAACTGGTCCTGCCTCCACGAGCAGCCTCGGATGCTGCGGCATCTGAAGCGGCGTCGTCCGGCCAACCGCGGATGCTGCGGGGTATCTCGGAGGCTCGATCTTGAAGATGCCGTAGCTGGTGAGTGGAATGGAAACGAGCGGCCTGGCGATGCTCCTGGGCTCGCCAGCGTCCTCGTAAGGCCGCCCGGGCAGGACGTACGGCCAGCCGGGATGATGACGCTCCGGCTCGACGAGGGATGCGTAAGGCGGCGGCTCGTCCTCGAATAGCCAGCCACCGTAATTCGTCGCAGTATCCTCGCAAGCGCAACGATGGCATCTGGCTTCCTGGTGATCTCTCGCCGACCTCGAGGGGCCCGACCATTCCGCAGTGCTTCCTTCGGATTATCCAGAGAACAATGACAACGCATTAGTTACATAATCGCGAATTTCTTTTCCTTGCGCAAGTATAATGCTCGCGCGCGAGGTCTCTTTCACCTCTTCCTGCATGAGTTTCATTTCTGATAAAGAAATTGTTCGTTTCTCGTGTTTCTTAAGATCATTGTAAAATGCGCCTCAAAATACAAAGAAGAATAATTGAAAAAAGAAAACAACAAGCAGACTCGGTTTTATTACTTTTGCGATGACTTTTCCGAGGTGTTCGTTGGAAATAACTTGACTCTTACAAGAAATAGTATAATCGTTATTTCTCTCTCGTATTATCGTTCGCTCTCGAATAAGCAACAACGATGATGAACAATTAGGCATTATCATTAAGCCGCTTTTCGATTCAACGTCTCGGACACGAAAAAGGCATTTCATAAAGTAAAATGCAAAAGAGGCATCATTTGAAATATACGTAATACTATTTGCAATATATGTTATACAACGGTTAATATATTTTTTCACTCCTCACACTGTCTTTAATTACATTGAAAGTGAATTTTTCAGCAAGTATTTCAGCAAGATTTGGCATTACCTAATGGACATAATATCAATGAATTTGATTCGTATTGTTTTGCATTTCACGACATTGTGAAAAAGAGACAACGACTTTCTTCTGATACTCGTAAATCCCTCTAGGTAAATGTCATATATATACGAACTTCATATATTTTTAATATTTCTCATTACGTAAAGTTATTACTCATAGCTTTGTAGCTCTTCCTTTAATCGTTCCAATGTAAAAGCGATGATTTGCAAAAACGGTTATGTATTAGATCGAAATTTTTTTTAAACAAACATTCGTTAGTTGAGTTTCCTTAATCAAACGTTAGAATTGATTATTTGATAAATTGCATCATATAATTGTTTCGACTTTTAGGCTAAAATGCATAATCAATTAAAATATCTTATTGTAAATAAATTACAGTAAAAGTGTAAAAATCGTTTGCAAATATAAATAATTTTATTTTATTATTTCAGTATTTATTATTGATTATGGAAATGTTAATTATGATATTTGACTTATTAATTGCATTGAGATGCGTTTTTTTTCTTCAATGTAAATAAAACATGATAGTCATATAATAAATATTAACTATTTCCATAATTTAAAATGTAATTAATATAACATTTTGTAAGTTTAATATCGTATTCTATTTATAAGAATATTGATGTACAAATGAAATTTTTTTATAAACATTATTAGAGGGAAAAGAATAATCGATAAAAGAAGTATTTAATAATTCTCAATCTGAATATTGCAATAAACAGAAAAAAATAATAATTTCACATTAATTACACATTTTAATTAAATGTAAATTAACCATATAATATAGGAAAAATTCGATAATTCATATATACATGATATCGACTGATTTTTAATTCGTAATTTTTATCGTAATTTTTATCGATTTAATCGTAATTTTCAAAAAATACTACAATAATTTCTAATGTAAATTGTTCCTAAGTTACTTGGAGTCGAAAATCAAATATTCATTATACATGAAAATTATATTCTGATGTTTGTATAATATAGAGAAGGATGTAAAATAGTATAATTTACAATATATAATATATAAAAAAATATTATCTAACTAGATTTTTTTAATATTAATATTTTTTTTTGTTATTTATGCTTTATCAAGCTTTTAAACCTTTTTTAATTAAATTTTAATGTAGCGTCAAAATCATAATTATCGTATGCTTATTCTATGTACGTAAGTAACTCGAAATACGATTTTACCATTAAACATTTATAGAAATATCACACAGTTAGTTGTAGGCTTTTTTATCTGTTAGATTATACAAAACTTTCTATTAAAAAGCACCTCAATAATAAATCTAAGTAATGAATCGAATTTTATGCAATATTTTTTAAACATGCAGCTGAGTAAATCAGTTGGAAAAAATAATATAAGATAAAACATGCCAACAAGCATATACATTTAATATCATTAATAATATAATCTTTATTCAGAGAAACTTTTCTTACGATAGTCCTTATGTAAAATAACTTTCAAAATGTCAAAATATTTTATTAATGCCTTCGTGTTTTAGCACTCGTCCGTGAAAATATGTAGGATTTATGAAATACAATAATGGAAATAAATTGCCTTTTAATCAGTGCAATGTATGATTATCAATTTTCTTCTAAGTTAAATTATTTAAACAGTTAATTAAATGTATAAAAGTCCATTTAATGAAAGGCAGCAATAGCTGAGTAATGTGGAGCTTATGTATAAGTGCTTATGAATTTTTATATAAATTTGGAAGAGAAAATGATTCATGATCTAAAAATTGTGATGAATAAAAATTGTGACAATGTAAGAATTAAATAAGATGATGGAGAACGCAAAAGATGTAACTGTAATTGGAATAATATAAAATTCATGTGCGTTTATAGAATAATTTATACAATTATTCTGGATCTCAAGATTTTCAAATTGAATTCCTAAAAATATTTGTTTCAGGACAAGTTTCTAATAGCTGAAATATATTTTTTACATATGTTATACGTGAATTCAAATTCTGTAAATGTATATATAATATTTGTACACACATGTGCAATATTGCATATAAAAATTATTTGATAATAACCGCGGCTAAAAATAAAAATAAAATGATAAATTAGAGTATAAAAATAGCGAATAGTACTAAATAAAAGAAATTTTTTTAATAAATTAATTGATTTAAAATAATATATGTAATAAAAGAAGTAAATGACATCATTATTCATAACTCTTCTAATTATATTTATATTTTATAAAGAAACGTAAGCATTTCTTTTATAAAACAATATACTTATATTTGAGATATTAAAAAAGAATCATCAACTATTTAGGTTCGTTAAGGATTTTATTAAATGTGATTGCCTATTTGTAATACGGAAATAAACTATTTCGATGATTATTTTTATGATATTAAATGGTTAAAGTTTTATTCAATACCTTTAACCTTTCTATCTTACAAAGAGAATTTAATATGTAAATATTAGCAAATTTCAGATATTCGAATATTCGAATATTTATGCTGTTTAAACGCCTTCGATATTCTAGAAATTGACGTAAATTAATTATTCCAATCTGTAGGCTGATATTTAAATTTGTTGAAATATTGAAAAATGCAGAATATTGTTTCACAGAATTAAGTCTATAATTATTTTTTAAATTTGGTTTACTTTCAATATTATTCAATAATGCAATAAAAAGTGTTAATATTAAAATAAAGTTATAAAAATTTTAAAAATGTAATTAAAATATAATTCATCAGATTCTTAAAAATATTGAAAATATTAAATTACAAATATTAAACACATGTTTATTTTTATTACATACTAAATTCATTTATTCTATACTATTCTTCAAATTCTTATTTATTATTACTTTTATAAAAATATTAAACTCTGTACAATATATAAATAAGTGTTCATGATGATTGTTATTTATGTGCAACAATGCCATTACACGTACAACAAATGTAAGGAAGAACAAACGATATAAGAGATATCATATATATATTATTAAAACAATATATATATATATATATATATGTATATATATATATATATATATATATACATACAAACACACAGGAAGATTATAAAATGCAGATGTAATATCAAAATTTATGTTCTGTCATACTAATTTTTAATATCTATTGCAATATCTATTAATGAAATTGAACTAGTATATACAAATATTGTATAAATATATATATATATATATATATATATAAATATAGAAATACATACAATATATATTAGTATAATATATTATAATATAGGTTTATTGAAATATAATTTTAAATCATTGAAAGATTTTTTATATAACTACAAATTAATGCTAAGATAATATCTATGAACATTCTATTTTTATAAATGACGAATGAATATTGTTGTGTACATTAGAAACCTTATATTTTTATATAAAAATATATGCGTCAAACAATGAATAAATAAATTTATATATGCATTTTACCTGTGTATTTCATTTCTAAATAAAACTTGTTAATTGGCAATCATAATGATTATCTATGCTATTAATTCTATAGTGATGCATTTATTAAAATATTTATTTCTTAAATAATATACAGACATAATCGGTAAATTCTTGAACATAATGGAATTTGTATTGAATTTTAACTTTTTTTTTTACAAATTTCCATAAACATAAGTATGGAATAGTCATTCATTTTTCCTTACATTAACAGTATTCCTTAAATTTATTTATATATCAATATGTAAAATATTTATTAGTTTTAATAATATATATAATCATCAATTATTTCATTTAAGTATCCAAAAAATATTTGTAATATATTAGATATTTGAAAGTAATGTAATATTATAGAACGAATTCATATCCATTGTTGGGTGTGTTTATATATATGGGTGCGCGCGCGCGCGCGCGCCCGTGTGTATATATAATTGTTACTCAACATAGATTCTTACCTCAAATACTAATTGGAAGTTATAAAATCGACATTTTTATATCAGCTTTACACTATGTGACTTAAAATGTTACATAAACAAGATATAACGCATACATAATCATTGCTTTGATTATAATCTGTTTTCCCCGTTTTTATGTATTTATAATACTGCCAGTTTAAACGTAAAGTCGTTTCTTTTTACGAACGTTAAAATAACTTTCACCAACGCAGCTGTTACTGTTGTCAGACTTTTTAACGAATGAAATCTTTAGAATTGTAAGTATAAATAATATTAACTGCAAAACTTCCTTTTCTACAGTTATGTAGTTTAGATGGAATGTACGTATTTTTTAAATTATTTGATTGAATTCATGATTACAATTAGAATTATTTATTTGGTAATATGCTTTAAGAATTTAATATTAATATAAAATCAATGTTAAATTAGTATATATAAAAGCTAAAGTATATGTCAACATGAAATAGAATAATATCGCTCATTATTTTTTATATTAATGTAATATGAAATGAAAATTTAGTAAATCGAAGATCAAACTATAAAGTAAACTAATTTTGTTTATATGAAATTCATTTTGAAAAATATATCATTTCACAAAAATACGTCCAAGACAATTTGTTAATATATTGTAAAATATTATCATAAAAGTAATTCTCATTGGCATTTTGTATCTTTTTAAATTGCATTATTTGATCGTAAATATGCAACTATCTTCTATTCAGATTCTAAATGATTTTTTCATTTTTATCAATTCATACTATTTAAATATGTAAATTAATATCAATTATATTTGTTGTATCGTTAACCTTGTAAAGTATTATAATGTTAGTTGAAATAATAATAGAGAAAATTTAATTATTTAGAATTAATTTAAATACATTGTTTATATAATGCAGTCATTTATGAAACATTTAAATGAATAATATGTATGTGAAAAGCAACAATAATATAATAAACAAGAGATTTTTTGAGAGATGGGGGTATTAAGTAAAATGTCTACCATTTATTCTCGTTGAATTTGCAGTAAAAAGGAATTGACTAAAATTCTATCGATAAATTGACAATTCTCATCCCATATACTTAATTATTAGCAGCTGGAAAGTTGGAAAAAAAAATGATATAAAACAATGATGTTGAGAATAAAATAGTAATTAATCAGTTATAATTATTAACGTTTAACATAAAAGTGTAAATTATACAAAATATAAAAGTTAGATAATATAAAAGTTAAATTCATACAATTTCACTTCAAAAGTAAAACTTTATATATTCAGATATAAAGTTGGGTAGATTATTTCCAATAGTTTATGTTTATTTTTTTATTATAATTTAAAAAATCGTTGGGTTTCTGAATATTAAATAAATTGCAGAAATAAACAAAGAAAATTTTAAATTATGGATCAAATAAAATTTCGATAGAATATTTATTACCAGTCATGTTTCTTTTATGATTTTTTAATTATTCTTTACTTTGTTCTTATAGAATATGATTATACAAAACGCGTGTGCGAGCACGTACAGGCACACAGGCACAGACACAAACATTAAAGAAACAGTTTTATAAATTAAAAAAATGCGAGTAAAATTTATATAAAGTTGTTACTAAAATTTTTTTAAAATGAAACATTTTAATAGATTTTCAATGCCAGTTTCATAATTTTCTCATTTATAAAACCTCACTCATTACCACTGCTTTAACTTTCTCTCTCTCTAAATGTCCTAACATTAATAATATTGGATTATCATTTACTATTAAAGTACATTAGTATTAAATAAAAATTGCGAATCGAATTACAGATATGTAAACATTAAACATTGTTATCGATTGTATAATTTAGAAAACGTACAACGATTGCCAATATCATAATAAACATTGTTTTCTCGCGAGCGGATATCAGCAAATTTATCTTGTTAAAACACGAGATTTATGAAATTCTTAAAATAAAGTAATTACTTTACCATCGTCCATGGATGATACGTCAAGTTAAATCGACGTATACTTCACTTGCGGAATTATCAGTGAACGTAACAAACAATTGCCAATTCACGCACGCACACATGCGCAAGGAAGAGAGAGCCCGGGCGTATGCGCACACGCGCACGCACGCACGCACGCACGCAAAAAGCACAGTCGAACACTAGTAGATGAATACCCTGATATTTAGTTTAGCGTCCCCCCCTCCCCTCCCCCGACCGTCTACCGGGCCTCATTCGGTCGCACGTGTTTTGTTCACCCGTCACTTAGATGCGAGTGAATTATCGTGCACAACGCAGAATCCATCAACGTTCCAAAAAGGCATGCATTAAAATTTTCTTGTATTTATGGTACCTCCTTCGGCGCTGTCCGACATATGTCCATTCCACGCACGACTGGCGACTGGGAAACTACTATTGCCTCGGTCCGTGGCTGCCGGCTTCGTGACCTGACTCTCCTCTCTTTCGTCGTCGTCGTCGTCGTCGTCGTCGTCGTCGTCGTTGCCGTCGTCCAAGTTGCAAGAGTGAAGGCGGCCCGAGTTTGCGTGTCGTTTAAGTCCGTGCACGTGTATTGGAGCGAGCGAGCGAGCGATCACTCGCGCGCGCGCGCGCCTGCCAATGTAAACATGCGCGAGGAGAGGCGGAGGCGCTGGCAACTGCGCCATTTACAATTGTGTGCGCGCAATCGGTCTCGCGGACTTTTCGCCTTTTTTCGCCCGTGTCCTTGCAACGAGGATGATGATTTTTATGCCGATTCAGGCATTTTTCTCACCTCCTCGTTTATCGAGAATCCGAAACAACATTTCCTGACCGCTTACTAGCTTACGTGACGCTTCGCCTCACCCGCGCCTCCCTTCCACGACTTGTCGCTTAACCGGCTTAAACGGGCTCCCGATTTTTGCGTCACGTTAGTCGGGGATCGATGGTGATCGCAGGTGAACAAAAAAATCACTCGCAAATGGTTCTCAAACACCAAGCCATTTTTAATCGAGAATCTTTTATTTTCTACTTGGGCAATGCCAATATTTATATAACATAGGGATTATTAATCCTTAAATTATATAATGAATTATAATTAACAATGATTCGATCACCATAGCTGCTTACTGGTTTTATGTAATTAGCGATGTAGAATTTTATAAATACCTTGACAAAGACTTGTCCGATCGAATAAATGATGTCTTATTGAATAAATACTTGTCGTAAGTGAAATCATAATCAGACTACTTGATAAAGTAACTTAATAAATTATTTAATGAGAAAGAAATATTCATGTTTTAAGGAAGCTGTTGTATAAAGTCTTGTTGATCAATTGCACGAAATTTTATTCAATCTTGCTTTTATCGGCACATAAATATATCTAATAATACATTTCAGCAATTTTTAATCAAACCCGCGTTAATAAACAAATTAAAATATTTCGTTCTTTATGTATGCAAGCAAGCAAAATAGAAATTGTTTTTAAATTCTCATAGATAATGAATATAGCGTTTGGGTAAAAATCTCAATCTGATTCATTTAATAAGAATCATAACAGAACGTCACTTTGACATTTCCTAAAATTTTCTTATAGATTCGATCACTTCTATATAATAAAACTGTTCAATATATTCTTTATATATTTTGTCATATTAATTTTGTATTTATATTTGCGAGTGTGTGTCATATTCCTAATGATTTAATTATAGAATAACAAAAAAGTTATTTATCAATAATTTATTATTGACAAAAGACTTTATCTTGTCCATGTAAAGACTCATTTACACTAATAAATGAGATATTTCTAAAATTTCTATCTCTTTCATTTTATAATATAGACTGAAATATTTGTGTATATATCAATATATTAAGAGATTTTTCACACGAATAATTTTTACGAATTTCCATTTGGTGTTTGATAGTTTAAAAAGTATGAAAAAAATGAATACATTTTATATTTTAACAAATTTTTCCATTTTTTCCCCGTTTGAATTCAGTCTATATTATGCCTTAGTTATTGAAATTATCAATTATATTGCATGATAATACAACTTTTATAAATTTTAACGAATGAAACAGATAATTCAGATGATAATGTATCGTTATCTTGGTAATACTAACATACACTAAAATACACTGATATGGATATAAAATTTAATTCAACAATTAATCAGCAAATGTAAAACATAAATCACATTATTTACGTTAATTACACATTATTGATATAGTGCTAAAATTTAGTTGCACACGCATGCGCGCACACGCACAGACACGTATATATATATATATATATATATATATATATATATATATATATATATATATATATATAAAGAGTAAATCATTTTTTTAATTATTGAGTGGGTTATCGTGGCATATGGAGGAAAAGCGGCAATCGAGGCGCGTACGATAAGTAGTATAAACCTTGGGAAACAAGAATTCGTTAAAAGTTGGAAAGCCAGCTTAGGGAATAGGGCTTCCGGGGGAAAGCGCCTGAAGAAAAATCAACTCTCCTTTGCAATTGAAAACTTAAATCAATTTATTAACATACAACAAATTGGCCAAAAGCCGTTTTCCGATACGAATGCAGCCTCAACGACAGCCGGGTTCTCACTATCGGTACCCGTTCGCTACTGGCTGCGGCGATTGTGCAATGGTGGTGTGGTGTGGAGGCGAGCCGATTACCGAGACAGCCATCACGAGGAGTAAATCGAAGCGGGAGATCGATCGAGACGGGTTGAACTCAGCTTTCGTCGAGGGCAGCTGTTGCGCATTGGGGCCTGAGACGCCAGGGGAACAATGAAAAGCCATGAGAGAAGATAAGGCAATGCGGTCACGCAGTCGAGTATAGCGAAAGTGGATGAGAAATGGACGGGACTGCTGCACATCCTCGTTCATCGTCTTCTTGGCTTTTGGGGGATACGGTGGGACAGGCGGAAGGTTGGCGCTTGGAACGCTCAGCCGCGGATTTTCGCCATATTAAAATCTGGCAATTTCCGGCGTATGCATAGTTACCGGATGAGATGCGGAAAGCACCGGAAAAGATTTTCATAGAGGACAATAGTTGTTATAATAGCCTTCGATTATAAATAAGCATATTAATTATCTTACATAATCATGCAAAAATATTATTAAACATTAAGCTGGCAGGGTTAGTGCAATTTGTTCGGTTAACTGATGAATACATTAATTTCATTAATACCTACGTAAAGTAAATGTTTCATAAAATATTCCATGGAAAGAGTATAATTGTCTATTGTATTATTGACATTTTTTTTTATATTAATCTCTGCATGTATAATTGATTGATAAAATTTATATATGAAATCGTGCTTAAATTATTTCTATTTATTTCAAGGATTGTAAACTTAAAGCACTAAGCGATAGTGATTTACCAGATTAAATTGAATAAAATGAAGGGAAACGACGCGACACAATTTTACATGATTAAACTATATCTAAGTTCCAAAAGGTACGAATTCGATAATTTCAAGCTTTAACGGACCTTAATATATAACTATTTTTATGAAATTACACGTAATAATTTATCGCAGCGTATTATTATCGTACCAGTATTTGTAAATTTAATATAAAATAGAATTTTTAGCAGCAGGAAGAAGTAGCTGCCTGAATATACATGAGTAAATGCAATTATTGATAAATCGTTTCTCTCATGGTGAAAATGATCGAATAACATGATCGATTGCACTAAGCTTACGGTCCTAACTTTCCTAATGATATTTGATTCTTCTTTCGCACAGTATTTTATTATTCTTCTTTTCAGGACGTAGTAATTGATCAATTTTAAGCGTAAATAATGTGTACATTAAGAAAAACAAAAAAAAAATCTTTTTAATTATTTTTATATAGTATATAGTATCAATTTTCATTTAATAATTCGTATAATAAAGCACTTGTATTATTTATTATTTATTGGCTTTACCTTTTTAACGTTGGATTAAGGCACGTTATTTGATGAGATAACTAAGAAATTAGTAATTAATAGGTATAAGACGATTGCATTATCTTTTTAGATAAAATTATTATCCAAAACTTTCTAAATGTAATATCTAATCGTATATAAAATAGTGAAATATTGATAAAATCTTACTTTGTGGATGAAAAAAAATTCTTGCTAATCTTATCGAATGCATAATATATATGTTTGCTAAGAAGATGATTTACTTTTTTCATATTAACGTTTTCATATTGACTTAATAAATGTTTATAGTATTGCGTTGAATGATACTTATTTCGAAATAGTCGGCTATATTAATCATTAAAAATATTATCTCCAATGGAGCATGAAATAATATTGATATTATTATTTGAATTCGGAAAGATCGTAAATTTAATACAAAAAAAAAAAAAAAAAAAAAAAAAAAAAAAAAACAATAATAATAAAAAAATGATAACCTCGAGCGACTATTACAATATTATATTTCAATTTATTATAAATATGTATACAATTGAATATCACCTAAAACGATAATTCCACTTTTCGTGAATTAATTTAAAATAGAATTTCACATAAAGTTTAAAAATATACTTGATGATCAAGATTTAAATTAATTAATAAAATAGAATTCAATGCAAAAATAAATAACATACGTTATTGCTAAATGTATACGTTATCGAGAAGCATTATTATCTTATAATTATTTATCGATTATTAATATCTGTATTAAATTATCGTGACATTAGGATTAATATTGAATAATTTCGAAATAAAATACAGAGAGAATCGTATTCACTATTTTAATTTTATTATAAAATGTCGAATTAAATTGTTAATCTTTATAGAAACTATTTTGGCGATACATATGCGTTGTCAGAGTATAAAGGAAATTTGTTTTATTTCATAATGATGATGCATACGTTTTACAAATTACGTATTATGGTACATGTAATATTAAGCATATAAAGAATTAACAATGGAAAAATAATTAGTTCGTACTGAAGAAGGAATTAAGGAAATTAAGTGAATGCAAGTGTTTCTGAAATATGTGAGGTGGCGATGATTTGTTTAAAGTCTCCAATACTCAAGATACTATCTTATCAAGCACACAAAAATATTTGGCCAA